TTGGGCCAGCCTCGAACATAGGGTTATCCAATTACACAGTGAAGCCACTGAACCACGCTGCCACAATAAGGAATGTTAGATACGTGTCAAATAAATCCCCCAAATGTCATAACGTATTTTGTTATTTTTGATTCCAAACCTATTTACTATTTAGATATACGTTTGTATGAATAGAATATTTATCCTGTATATACAGTGCTTCTAGTGTTCCTAGTCACGCTAGGTAATATGTGCTGTATATTCATTTGGAATAACTGGTTTGAATTTTGAAATATTTGATATAACTGTAGTACTAATATCATCACAAAAACAAATATGGTCATCACAATGAACGGGTTTTGCATATTATCTAAATTGCTTCCAGTTCTCGAAAACGTAACAATTTTTACATGACATAAATGGTTTGCTTTGAATTTCATACAAAGCTACTCGAGGACTATCTACGCTAACCGTCCTTAATTTAGCAGTGGTAGACTAGAGGGAAGGCAGCTAGTCATCACCACTTTTACTAACGAATTGTGGGAATGACCGTCACATTATACGCCCACCACAGCTGAAATGGCGAGCATGTTCTGTGACGGGAATTCGAATTCGCGACTCTCAGATTGCGAGTCGATCGCTCTTAACTATAGGCCATGCCAGGCTTACGTTGCTTAAAAATATAACATGTAAATGTATATATACTCTCTCATCACTCCACAATTATGTTGAAAGTGTAATGCCAGTGTTAGTTAGTAGCAAACCAGTTACTTCAAGCTTCAATAATCACAAATACCTTGTTTGTAATTAAATATTCCAAGTTTGAAAGGAGCCCACCATTGTTTTGGGTACTACTAACACAAACAAAGTTAAGAATACTGATACTATACCACCATTGTTTTAGCTACCACTACCACAAATAACGCTAACAATACTGCTAGTCTTACCACCATCGTTTTGGCTACCACTACCACAAACAACGTTAAGAATACTGATACTGTACCACCATTGTTTTAGCTACCACTACCACAAATAACGCTAACAATACTGCTAGTCTTACCACCATCGTTTTGGCTACCACTACCACAAACAACGTTAAGAATACTGATACTGTACCACCATTGTTTTAGCTACCACTACCACAAATAACGCTAACAATATTGCTAGTCTTACCACCATCGTTTTGGCTACCACTACCACAAACAACGTTAAGAATACTGATACTGTACCACCACTGTTTTAGCTACCACTACCACAAATAACGCTAACAATACTGCTAGTCTTACCACCATCGTTTTGGCTACCACTAACACAAATAACGTTAAGAATACTGATACTGTACCACCATTGTTTGAGTTACCACTACTACAAATAACGCTAACAATACTGCTAGTCTTACCACCATTGTTTTGGCTACCACTAACACAAACAACGTTAAGAATACTGCTAGTCTTACCACCATCGTTTTGGCTACCACTAACACAAACAACGTTAAGAATACTGATACTGTACCACCATTGTTTGAGCTACCACTACCACAAACAACGCTAACAGTACTGATAGCCTTAACAGAGCATATGGTTAATTGTAAGGTGAAATTCCGATGAGATAACTTGGAAAGAAACGTTTATGTTAATGTTAAAGTAATTTAGCTCTTCGAAGTATTTTCAATATGATGTTATTGATAATATATTTATTAGAAAAAAAAAGCATAATCAGAAATTGGAAAATCAACTGTATCTACTGACAGGAGAGGAAACATTTTTATGATAATAATAAAAAAGATTTTCTAGCATTTTCTGGACTACACTGAAAACACAATGGTAGGTATCAGTTGAATGCATATAAAAATTTTGGTACATATGACATGGTAATAATGTACATGCTTTAACGAAGCCTGAGATCGTCGTTATCCTTGAAACGTGACTCCAGTGGTTAGAGTGACGTTAATATTTCAGTGGTATTTCTCCGGAACTGACATCATACTTTCATCCCACTCTCCGAATGTATGAGTTACAACATTAACAAAAACTACAAGATGATTAATCCACAAGGAATTTACACCTCTGAACACACATCATCAGACTCTTAAATGCATCATTTTATCCCTAAGTGGAAATGTTTTAGTAAGCAATCAATCACATATTTTAGTGTATTCTATTTATGTTCTGAATCTTATAGTATTAAAGCCTTTTTTGAAGCTAAGACTGTTAAATTACAAAAAGCCATTTGACAAGTTTTTATAGTATAAAGGCGCCTGGCAGTTAGCTGTAAATTTTTTTAATGACGGTTTACTAATGGTACCTGGTATGTGACCCTGGATGATTCAAGAAGTGGAAGTTCCGGACAATTGTTTTTACGTAAGACATTTCAAATTATGAAATGTAAAAACTAAACTCTATTGGATTGAAAACAAACATTTTCAGTTTCATCGAGAGAGGCGTAAACTTCTGTAGTACGAGTGATGTTATGGTTTGTTTGTTTATAATTTTGAAACGATGGACTAAATGGAAGGTGCTAGTCAACAACAACCACAGCCAATTCTTAGGCTACTAATTAGCAACGAATAGTAGGATTAACCGTCAAATTAGAAAGTCCCCACCACTGAAAGGGTGAGCATGTTCGGTGAGGGGATTCAAACTCGAGACCCGCAGGTTGCGAGTTGAATGTTCTCACTACCATGCCTTTGTTGAGAAAACAAAATATTTTGAAATGTACTGTTAAGTATCTAGCTGTACTGAAAACAGCCGGTTTTTGGCGCAATAAGTCTTCAGACTTACCGTTAACCCACTAGGAGGCAATCACTTAAGTAGTTAGCACCACTATAAGGCTAATTTATAAAGTGTCTTAATTTTATTTGTTTGTTTTAGAGCAATGCCACACTGAGTATGCACCGTGGGGAATCGATCCCCAGATTTTAGCTTTGTAAGTCCGTAAACTTATCGCTGACCCACCGGAGTACGTTTTATTTTTGTACTAATAGCAATAAAGTGGAAATTTAAATATCAAAGAAAAAATATTATACCTTGAATTGTTTTGAAAACTTAAAAATATTATAATAAAGAATTCTTAACTTCTATTATGACTTATAATATTATCAATTTGTATGGTTTATTTGTTTATAATTAAGCACTAAGCTACACAATGGGTTATCTGTACTTTGCCCACCAAGGGTATCGAAATCCGGTTTCTAGCGTTGTAAGCCCGCAGACATATCGCTGTGCCATTGGGAGGCTTGTATGGTTTAATAGCTCGAAGTATTTTAAGGTTTTTGCTTGATCAAAGTATAAACTTGAAAATCAAAATGCATCGCTTTTAGTTGCGATTATATTGTGAGCTTTTGCTGACAAGTTTTGGTGATAAGTGTACTGTTTTCCGGAGAAACACCTTTGCAACAGATACATATGGATGCTGTAAAACATTCATAAGTCGGTACAAACTAAAATTAGAACACGAAAAAAAAAACAAAATGCAGTTGCTAATATTACTGCGTTTGCTTGACTAATGTGTACTTAATTTCGTTAAGGCTAGTAGAGGCTACGATTAGTTAATGATAAAAATATACAGTGTTTTCCTAATTAAGATTCTTTAATTGCTTTTCCCATAAACATGAGTAGTGAATTTTTAATTACTACCATCTTATCCCAGACATCTTTGACCAGACAATTGTTTGTTTGTTGTTAAATCCAAAGTTGTACAATGGACTATCTGTGCTGCACCCACAACAGGGATCGGACCCTATATTTTAGCATTATAAGCCCTCGATCTTACTACTGATTCCCCGAGGCAGTCCTAGAAACTACACTCGAGTTTAGAAATAAGAAACGAGCAACACGTTAGGTAAATTTATAATTATTTTATTTTGAAATAGAGAAGTACAAAGACAATAACTGCATGAACATTTTCAATGCATATCAAAATTATGTTTCCATAAAAAATACATACATTATATTTTCACTAACAAACTACAGAGCACAAAAAAAAATGGATGTGTAAACTCATCTTTAAAAATAAGAGCAATACTGTATAATCACATATTTCTTGTTCGTGTAAAACGTGTATACTAATATTATATATACATAGTTGTATATATCATATTAGTACGGGAACAAGGGAAATATACTTCTGTGGTGCTAAAAGTCATATAAAAGTCATATCTAATTATATATATATTAAGGGTCCAAATCGTAAATATATGTTGATATTATTTTTGTCAAATATTTGAATTGGTCATTTTAATATATGATGTATAACACACAAACAGTAGGGCCTTTAATAATTAAATCGATAATATCGACAGAATAATTTTGACAGTATATATATATATATATATAAATGTAAATAGAAAAAAAAAATGTTTAACAATATTCTTGATTTTCATCACAATTTCGTATTGAGCTGTAAGAACCTTGGAAATGTATAAGATGACTAAATCTAATCACATCACACAGTTGTAGAACCGTATTATTTGTAAAAAAATACTGTATTCACTATAACCAACCAGCAATAATTACACTTATTCATCTCAAGTGATCCACTTTCCGTTCGATTGGAATTAGTCTCAATTATCTAATTACTGGCTTGAAAAGCAAATGGGGAATTTTGAAAGCTGCGATATAATCTTCCATTAGATATTGCATGAAGGTAGAAAAGTATCTATTGGGGAGATCAGCAATATGGAATGATGGCGAATATTTCCTGTAAATAATACTTCAAGGAATAGAATAATCAGTCTACTGCATTTTAAAAACTCGTTATGTTAACTTAATACTTGGTAAAAAGACAACGATCAACTGCGTACGATATGCCATATTGTAGCTCTTTTTGGCAAATATTGGCTCCTACAACAACTAGGTCTACTAAACTCGCCATATTGATTTTCTTCTTTCATAAAATATGTCAACAACGTCTTGAAATCTCTGGCCAGTAGGAACAATTATTTCAGCATGCAAGTAATTAATAGAGCATTTTGTGCAACTAAAGGAAATATTTTAGGCTGTTCATTTTCTTTCCATTGATCATTTCAAATATTGATTTTGTTTCAATACTGTTTGTTTTTTTTCACCATATGATGTCAAGTAAGGGTTTGAATAGCATTCGCGAACTTAGACTTATAGGTGAAATTTTACTTGGTTGTTTGTTTTAGGATTTTCGCGCAAAGCTATTTGCGAATAATCGTCCTTTATTTTTGAACTCGTAGACTAGAGGAAAATCAGTTATTCAAGGCAGTCTACTGCCAGTTCTTGGGAAACCCTTGTCAGGCCGAATAGTGAGATTTAACTGTCGTTCTTATAGCACACCCACAGCTCCAAAGTACGGAACGCGTATTTGTGGCAACAGGCGACGAACCATATGCTCTTAGATTCACATCCCGGGCACGCTATTCACCAGGCCACTCCCAGCCCATAGCGATATTGCCTAGGAAAGTCATCAGTTTTTTTTCATCAACGACTTACAAGTGTAATTCTATTTTCTTAAATTACATAATACCAACAATTAAGCTATTTTGTAAAGCGAGTTAAATGATTTTTGGGCGATATACTTTTAGAGGTAATATGATCAATACAAGTAAAATATCTGAGTCTTAATTTAAATTTCCCACCCTTGTAAATTGTATATAGATTTAATTCAGGAAATTGGTTCAGGTCTTTTTTATGTCTCTGTGGCAGGACATTCTGTCTCTGGAATGAATGAATAGAAGGTATGTTATATTCATCGTATTTGGTTCTCGGCAAAGGAATGTAACAAACTGATTTTTTTACGTACTTTCAATGTATATTTGACAAAATTGTAAAAAAAAAAAATCTTGAAAAAATGACAACAATTTACTTGTAATTAAAAACAATTCTTTAGCCCTATTGTACTATGGCTGCTTAAAGTCCATTGGAACAACTTTTGAGGCTACTTCAAAAGAGGCATGAATTAATGGAAATAACGTTGTGTTTGTTAACGTTAAGAACCTTCTGACACTCTTCATTATAGACGCTGCTTAGCAAGTTTACAATATGGGTAAATAAATTTTCGAATGGTTTGGTGATCTTACATCTTTCCTGATCTGAGTAATATGAGCTTGATTTACGATCTCAGCTTTCTTGCGATAAATACAGATAACAAAACCAGGTCGCTCTTTTCGCCACTTGTGTATCACATAACGTATTTTCTACTTTACTAAGTGCATTTCGTAAAAATACATGTTTTTAAATATAAAATAGTGAAAATAATATGTAAAAAAACACGTGTACAAAAATAATATTATGCAAAGACATAAAACGCCTTAAGAAAAATTAATCGTTTGAAAAGAGTCTGCAACACCTATCAAGTCACAGGAATTATGACTGGGTTTAGGAATTTAAAGATTGCAGGTTTTACCTTGTCCTCCAAACATGGGCACATTAGGACTGTTATCCTATTCTGAAATACAAACTCCGACTCTTTTGTAAAGAGCAATAATATAACTGTCACAAAGAGATAGAAAAGCCCAGATATATAAATAATACAAATATCTAAAAAGAGTCCAGTTGCCACATTTTTACTTTGTTAACGGTAGGTTACCATTCCTATTTTACTTGATAAAGGTCTTTGTTTTGCATATCAAATCTATATAAAAACTAATGTGTTTTAGCATTTTCTTCTACCTTTTGTTAACACGCATACATGTACCAAGCATTGATTACAATTTAAAAGATTTATAGTTATGGTAAACAAAAAATTTTATGATATGAAAAGGAATTATAAGAAATAACTCTTGTTGTTAGCTGAAGCTTGAATATAACTGGAATTATAATACTATACAATGCTCTCTACACCTTTTCCTTCTAATCTTCTGGCAAAATCAGCAATAAGATCCCTGTAGTTTAGACTGTCCACGTTCCTGCAGAGGAGCTCCAAAAGAAACCAGTCGCCTAAACGGCATCTGTTCAGGACCATCTCTAGATAATCTGCATTGGTCAGGCGAGCGCGATATCTTAAGATCAATAGGCGGGATTGGGGCCAGAACACAATGAACACTCGATAGACAAGAACTAGTCCGGACAATACAGCCAAAAGCACAAACCACACCCACAATAAAACATAGATTTTCTCATTGATGATATTGATTGGCAGAATACACATGGCGTCGTGACGCTGGACATCACCGGAAGAGCCATATTTATGGAAAGTACACTTGGTTAAACGAGGGAACACTCTGATCATGGGGTCATAGCGGAGGGTCCAGTCCCACTCAGTGAATTGGATAACCTTTGAACCGTAATGAGAGAAATGACCACCTAGGAATGAGTCAATTAGATACATCTGTCCTACAACGTTTACAAAATTCAAAATTTCACAGAAATAATACCCAGTGACGTAGAAGTTGTGGTTGTGGATGTTATTCATGAAATAGTCCACCAAAATGCCTCTTCGTTCTTGCTTTTTCTCAGGTGTTAAAGTGGGAGTGTTCAACTCCAGCATCAGAGATCGAATACGGCCTTTTTCCCATCCCTTCCACAAGTGACGTGGAAAGTAAAACATAAGGGCTTGGAAGAACAATACGAAACAGACCCACTGGTAGTAGGCATGATATACCCTGTCTTCGCCAGGAGTATACTTATCCACCCCTGGATACGGGATTTCCACGCCAACCTTCTTATGCCAAGCACTCTCTACACTGAAGGTGGTGTGGATCCAACAGAAGGTGTCTAACACTCTTGTTGGAATATCATCTCGCGAGATGCAGTCGATGGGGTCACCGATGTACTGTCGAGAAGTCACGAGCAAACTACAGGCCAAGAGAATGACCACAGTGACTTTGTAATGCAGTCGAAACACATTATTATCAATAACAACTGCATGGATTTTAAATAACCCTTTTAACGAGCCGAATATCTTATCCATTGTGGTTAAATGTTATACAACTAAGCGTTAATATCACAGTCCAAAGTTTCCTAAACTGAATATAAGGGAAACCCTTAGCTTTATTTCTCTGTAAGGCAGCTGTAGGTATTACACTGAGAATCCACTAGTCAAGATGTTTGCTCTCTCAAATAGACGTTCAGTCGCTCGCGCACGGCCACGCGTGGTTACAACTATAAGAGAGAAACGTCACACTAGCCAGCCAATCAAAAGCAGCGCAATGTTTCTAACAGCGACTAGAATAGATGAATTAACTCAGTCTCTTACTGTTAGTACATTTATTTATTTATTTTTTCAAATTACTATTATTCTCATAATCCACCAGAATTGTAGCTACATACCAAATGTGTTCAATTACATCCTGCTAACTTACTTAGAGTTTGGATTTGAAGTGTAATCCTAGAACTCACCTCAACTAAAGATCAAGTATTTTGAAAATATAATGTGTCTAATTTTAACGTTTTTATTTTATGTCAACTTGGCTTTGCATATCATTAATTCCGTAAGTTGTTCTTAAAACACACTTACTTCGGTATTAATGTGGTGTGTCATATACTCCTTTCTTAATGTTCGTTCCTTTGTTCGGTTGCCCACAGTGTAGAATCTGTTCACAGCTTTTAGATCGAATCCTGACGTATTATATTACGAAAACTACATACTTTCACAAACAGTAATCACAGACATAAAACAGACTCCAAATCATTCATTTCCTGTATTCAATCAGATTATCAAGGTAGATTTAATTACTTTCGTCTTTTGTCAACACTGTAATTTCTCGGCAGTACTCGGGCCAACAAGAAGTTCGAAGTATACACTGAAGCCTCATTTTAGTCACATTTTCCCTTTGCCCAAACCCTAGAGCTATATCGTGTCCACTCGGGGCAGCTAATAACAACACGGTTACCGGAGACATCTGCTACAATATATTTCTAATCCTAACAGATGGTTTTTCTAATACGGATGTTATTAAAATAAATATATTTATTAATAGTTGGTAAATATTGATTCATATTTCACAAAAGGGAAAAATAATATTCCCTCATTTAGTTCTTTTATTACATCACTGAAGAATATATATACAAAACGATTTTCAAATCATATCGACGAATATATTCTTTTAGTTAGAACATACACCAAGATCGAAACTGGAGGGCTAAGCAATAAGACAGCACAATAACAATAATAAAAATTTGGGTAAAATTCGATTATAATATAATGTACGGAATCTGTAAACATATCAAATTTATGAAAGGGTTTGCCATTTTAACGTGGCCACTAAAATCTTCAAATTTATAGAGCGTATAGGTCTAACTGTGTTAATAAAGGAATTATCATAATTGATATAAAGTACTAAGGACTAGTGAAATAGAAAAGGTTTAATTCTCGTTGGCTTGTTTTCAAATGTGATTATTATATCATATACTCTAACTATACATAACCATGTATAATAAGTCATTATATTTCAATTCTCTCACTAAACAAGGTCGCTGGATGTAAGAGACTCTTCAATTCCCCCTTAAAATTAAGGCCTTCACACCCATGAAATCAAATAGACGGACATGCAGGGGCGTTCAACGGCCCGCGACTAGACTCGTGGAGCATGCATTGTGTTAACAGTAGAGGAATGTCACCAGACTCGTTGCTGCAAGTCAAAAATATGAAGCAGATCTTTTAACACTTTTTCTGACTGTAGTGATTTTACACGTATTTTATTTAATGTCAAATCAAAGCTATCAGTCGAACTCAAATAATAATAAATGAAAAAATACGTAACCAAAGAAGTCAAAATACTGATAAAAAGACGCTATTTAAAACCATTAATTAAAACAAAAAAGTTACGAACTCTATTTATATTCGCCAGGTTCGCCCATATATTTGTATCCTAGAGTTAATGTTTGAAATAGGTAATATAATTTTTTCTTTGTCTTAAGAACGGGCAAGAGAAGGAGAATTTTGAAGACGTTCTGTTCGAGGGACTCCTTTGTCTTGGATAGGCATGTGCACCCCCACCCCCTCCCTTACCGTCACTCGAGTCTATTTGTAATTCGTCTACAGTCTGTGAGTGTCCCTCGTATGTCACTCATCTTTTGTTTTAAATAAATGAATTACTTAACATAAAATAAATTATTCTCTATGAAATAACTTTCAAAACGCTAAATGTTTATTTTAAATATACGATAAACAATAACAGTTCTCCCATGTTGAAGCTGAAACAACGTAACAGTTATCTGAAACTATTCACAACTGGCTCCTACTGATGTACCTTTTGTGTGTTTGAGGAAAGATAGGAATTGCTATGGAATTGAAAGCAATAAAATTATATATATATATATATATATATATATGAACTGAAATGGTTTCTTTGGTATGTAATGTCAATCCATCTGAAGAGCCTAACAAATAAATGGAATGTGCATGAAATGTCATATAATTTTCGAATCGAAAAGACTTCTATATGTGAGTAACCTGGAAGGAAAGGTTACAGACTTTAGGAAAGAAAATGTGAGGAATTCGTTTTCTTCAAGGTGAAGTATATACCATCAGTATCAAGGTGAAATATTACCACCAGCTTCAAGGTGAGGTATTACTACCAGTTTCAAGGTGAAGTATATACCATCAGTATCAAGGTGAAATATTACCACCAGTTTCAAGGTGACGTATTAAACCAGTTTCAAGGTGAAGTACATACAACCAGCTTTCAGGTGAAGTATATGCCATCAGCTTCAAGGTGAAATATTACCACCAGTTTCAAGATGAAGTATTACCATCAGTTTCAAGATTAAGTATATACCACCAGTTTCAAGATGAAGTATATACCACCAGCTTCAAGGTGAAGTATATGCCATCAGCTTCAAGGTGAAATATTACCACCAGTTTCAAGATGAAGTATATACCACCAGCTTCAAGGTGGAGTATATACGACCAGTTTCAAGATGAAGTAGTACTACCAGTTTCAAAGTGAAGTATATACCACCAGTTTCAAGGTGGAGTATTACCATCAGTTTCAAGATGAAGTATATACCATCAGTTTCAAGATTAAGTATATACCACCAGCTTCATGGTGGAGTATATACCACCGGTTTCAAGATGAAGTATATACCACCAGTTTCAAGATGAAGTATACACCACCAGCTTCATGGTGGAGTATATACGACCAGTTTCAAGATGAAGTAGTACTACCAGTTTCAAAGTGAAGTATATACCAGTTTCACGGTGAAGTATATACCATCAGTTTCAAGGTGAAGTATTACCATCAGTTTCAAGATTAAGTATATACCACCAGTTTCAAGTATTACCATCAGTTTCAAGATTAAGTATATACCACCAGTTTCAAGATGAAGTATATACCACCAACTTCAAGGTGGAGTATATACGACCAGTTTCAAGATGAAGTAGTACTACCAGTTTAAAAGTGAAGTATATACCACCAGTTTCAAGGTGAAGTATTACCACAAGTTTCAAGGTGAAGTATATACCACCAGTTTCAAGATGAAGTAGTACTACCAGTTTCAAAGTGAAGTATTACCATCAGTTTCAAGATTAAGTATATACCATCAGTTTCAAGGTGAAGTATTACCATCAGTTTCAAGATGAAGTATATACCATCAGTTTCAAGGTGAAGTATTACCATCAGTTTCAAGATTAAGTATATACCGCCAGTTTCAAGATGAAGTATTACCACAAGTTTCAAGGTGAAGTATATACCACCAGTTTCAAGATGAAGTATATACCACCAGTTTCAAGATGAAGTATTACC